CAATTACAAGAATGCTGGGATGGAGTAGGAGAATGGAAACTTATGCCATAAATAACAATCATAATTTAAAACAACATAAGACGGTCGTATTGAATTTACTATGTTTGTATAAAAACTACTTAAAGACAAAAAACGTTAGAATAGCGAGAACGAATGACAGGATTAAGGAGCAAGAGTAAGAGATTAAGCGGTATGAACAAGAACTGAAAAATTGAATGAGGACATTGGTTATTATAATATAATTCAATACTAAAACACGTAGGTTTAATAAACAAGCGTTTCAGTTAGAAGAAGACGGAAACAGTTTAAATGTAATCAGTAAAGTAGAAACATTATCAATGGTTCGTTGTGGTATAGAAACTGAGTGTGCGTGTGTCTGTAAACGAGGAGATAAGGTAGATCGTTGGGGGGATACCATGTTAGTATTCAGATGCAGATCTATTTATTCACAAGGACATACAGGATTACAAACACACATACAAACAAATAAATATATACATCTATACATCTGTACGTATATACATATACATGTAGGTATATACATGAGAATACATTCAACTACAAGAACATACACACGTGGGAACGTAGGTACGTACGTAGGTAGCTAGCAGGCAGGCAGGCAGGCAGACAGGCATGCAGGGTCGGAAGGCAGTAGGTATGTGGGTGGGTAGGCAGGCAGGTAGGCAGGTAGGTAGGTAGGGAGGTGGTCTGTCGGTTGGTTGGGGGTAGGTAGGTAAGTAGGTAGGTAGGCAGGCAGGGGCAGGTGGGTAGGTAAGCAGGTGGGTAGGTAAGTAGGTAGGTAGGTAGGTAGGTAGGTAGGTAGGCAGGCAGGCAGGTAGGTAGGTAGGTAGGTAGGTGGGTAGGTAGGTAAGTAGGTAAGAAGGTATGTAGGTATGCACACGCACACCCATGAAATGTGAGAAGCTGTGCACCCTGGAGATCTCTTCTGGTCCTTGCTAGACATTCCATCGCCGCCCTCGCCGTCGCCAGTCGCCTTCAGGGTTCCCGAGGTGGGTCCTTTTTTGGGACTTGGCTGGGCTGTTTGTTCTTTCGCAACAGGAGCAATTCAGGCGATGCTTGTCCAGGTTTGGACTCTCGCAACTTGGGCAATGCAGGCGAGATTCTTGCCCAGGGTTAAGGTTTGGGGCGTCTTTGCGTCCTGCATTGCTAGGACTATACCTGCATCGCACGGTTGAGGGCTTTTCAACTCGCACGGGGCAGGCAAGGCTCTACAACAAGTCTGGGTAACACTGCATTCTCCAAGCGAATGCCCAGGGAAGTTCCTCCATAAACAAACGTAGCAACAGTACAACCGATGCTGAATTCGATGCGCTGCGCTCCGTCACTATGCTGCATGAGTGAACTTCAAGCATTTGCCTGGCCGAAATGTCGCAAAAAGATATGCACGTGCTCACGTGGGGACAACTGGTCGGCACACTACTGCGAATTCATGAATTCGTGCTGAGCTCAGCGCTGCTACACTCTCGTGCTCTGCTTGTGTGTATTGGGACACAGCTGGCTCCGTCTGGACTGCGAGAGGAACTGAGTGTCGTGGCGGTGCTGCTGGGAACGTTGGCTGTCTGAAGCATGTGATCTACGTAACTGTAAATAGTGCTATGTATGGACTCATCTGGCCGCAGGGGCTGCTTAGTTGGGGCATCATGTTCCCGAGAGGCCATGGTAGGCAAGGCGAGGAAATGCGAGACCTGTCGTGTCACCGTGTATTCTCCAGAAATATTTGCTTTTGATTACTGTCTCGTGAAAGTTCTGAGCTGACCTGATGCAGTCGACCAAAGGAGATTTACTAAAGGCCTCGGTTCATCCTTGGCTGACTCGGTTGGGGTGTTTTGTGGATGTTGATGGTCGCGGTGCACCTCGTAGGTCTGTTAGAGCATGGAGATGAGAGGGGTTCAGGCTTTGGGCCAGCAGCCTTGTCCTCCTCCTTTGCGACAACGGGGGGCGCCTGACAGGCTAAAAACTCGGTAATTGTGTGTGCACGATAGTGTGTGTGTGTGTGCGCATATGTATGTGTGTTAAATTTGTACATACAGATGTACATTTACGCACACATGCGAATACATTGAGACTGCATCTACTGTCTGTTTATGTACTGAAGCTTCATATACTGCACGTGAGGATACGCAGTTTACACATAGCGCCATATCTATATAGATACATACTACGTGCATATTTACATGACATGCACACACGCACGCAAAATGTGTGTGTGTGTGTCTGCGATCAGATGCAGCAGCTGTAATGCAAGCTTTTGGCTCCCACATGGAGAATGTATGTCTTTGGGCAAAATTTACATATATGTAACATAGATAAACTTGGCACAGAAGGAAACAAATAGTTAACAAAAACGCATATACATAGAAAACGAACCGCTATAACTAAATTATACCGAAAAGGAAACCACAAGTACGTCCATATCTATACCAATGCATACAAGAACAAATGAATGTGACTGTGTGTGTACGTCTGCCGAAAATTTTCATGCATGCATGCATGTATGCATGTGTGTAGGTATGGAACTAGACAATTCCAAAAAGACAGACGACTTGATCTGTCGCCTTCTCCTCCACTGGTGCCTCTTTTGCCGGTGGCTGGGCTTCTTGCGGCTCCTGGGTGGCATCTGGGTCAGGAGTTTAGTAAGCGTGCGTCTCCACAAGTCAGTATGTATATATATATATCTATATATCTACATTTATATTTGTATTTATATTTATATTTATTTATTTATACAGACACATTTTCATATATATATATAATATATATATATATTCTGAGTTAAGCGGAAAATCGCAAAAGTCCAGGGGTCAACCTGCGGCGCAGAACCATGTTATGCTATCATATCCTAACAGAATATACAGACCATGTGAACAACTATGATAAACGCTCAAAATCATAATCATGTCCACATGCATACAGTACAGTATGGTATAATTGAACTCATTAATACATTTTTTCTGTAGCACTGCCAAGGCTGCGAGGTGACTACAGCAAACCTGCTCTGAGTAAGGACAGTCAACCGAGCGTGCGCACGTCATGCACTTACAGAGGATGAACACGTCGTCCAGCAGCCCAGGCAGTTTTCTGTAAAACCAATTTTGTATAAACTAGAAAAGTATGATCTAACGTAGTATGTAGTATAGTATAAATAGAGTAGAAAACAATATAGCACAACTTCACACAATATAGTGCACAATATAGTGTAAACTCGTGCAAGGTTGTAACATGTGGCCTAATGTGGTATAGTTTATGACATAGTGACATAGTAAGACTTCAGACAGTGTGCATCATGTAATCCGAGATCATGCCATCATACAATAGAACACAACAAGGCAGAGTATGGTACAATATGACACAACACAACATAACAAAACATAGCATAACACTCCGCAAGATGATACGATAACACTATATAAGACATAAGATGACCCAATATAAATCGAAGTATATGTGTGTGTATACATACACACACACGTGTATATACATATATGTGTGTGTATACATACATACATACATACATACATACATACATATACCTTATATACATGTGTGTATGTATGTATATATACACATATGTGTATAAATACATATACATACACACACACATATATATATATATGTATAGTGTATATGTGCGTACATGGCGATGTATATACGAGAGAAGTAGCTTATACTAACTTGTGTTACAACATTTACATTAATTATATATTCAGTTGGATGTTAGATTATGCTAGACCTCGTTCATCAGCAGAACGAACAAACGAGCAACATGTATAAGGTAAAACAAACTAGACTTACTAGAGAAGCGCGATACTACAGCGTATGTGATGAACTCTCCTCTACTTATGACCCCATTGTACCCTAACAGTCAGTCCCACTGATTCTTCCCGCAACTGCGAGAGCCATCTTCACAGCGCATAGAAAGCTTCGGCTGCAGCGGACCTTTTAAAGCGGTTGCAGAAGCAGCGTTGTATTGAACGCAGGGGCACACCCGTCTCGCCATGCGAGCAACCAGGAAAAGAAGACTGCCAGACCCAATCGTCTTCCGCAAAGAATCTCTGGTTGTTAAAGCGCTGCAAGGCTATGAAAAAGCCAATGCCAAGCAATCAGCTGGCCAGAAAAGAACCCACAAAGAAATTCATTATTTGACATGGCATCGGTGCTTACTTGCGTGGCTACACCCAAACAAACAGGTTTGCAAGACAACCTGCCCAGCACGACGAACGGTGGGCAGCCGCGTGACTGCCCCATGTTACGAAAGGCCTTGTGTAATCAAACCTCCATTGTGGACTCAGATGCAGTGTTGCGCTGCGGGTGCTCCCCTGCAAGGATAGAACTTGAAGCACGACTCGTTTTCGGCGAGCCTTGCTACCCTATTGAGTTCTGCTGATGCAAGTTCGCTAGACAACCTCGATTGAACTTCCGGAGTGCTTCCATTTAAATATCATGGCATCTGCCACATCAAAACAACATGTAGGTCTTGATGTGGCTGACCGAGATTCTCCGCGCCACAACAGAGTCTGCAAACCTGCAACATGCCTTGGCATCTAAACGAGTTCACAAAAAGCCTAGTTCATGCCTTCACGCTATGCGGCACATGCTGAATCAACAGGCGCAGCTATGCTGGTGCTCTCTGTTGTGGCCCGTACTAGGCCGCGTTGAGATGCCCTCGAAGCCTAGATCAAGATAGGACCAAGAACAGCACCAGGTCTCATGGTGCTTCCTTGCACTACCTTACACCTCGAATTGACCAAGGCTAGACTCTGGAGGGCAACAGACGACGCAGGCTAAACGAGCATTCAAATCTGCGACCCAAAGCACGGGAGATGAAGGCAATGGTTGGGCAGTTCTCCGAACCCGGAAAAGTTTTGACCGCGAGTCCAATTCGGAAACACAACCAGCGGGTGCACTACCTAGCAGTCCTCTGTCCCAAGCACGGCGCCGAGCCAGGTCCCTCAACTCACCCCTAAGCCACAGCCGTGGCCTTAGGCCAATGGGGCAGGGCATGCTGAAAATGGCCGCTTTGTCCCGGACTCCATGGCGTGTCCCTTGGCTTTGAGACCGCCTCGGAGGTGCCAGCTTTTCCTCAGTCGGGCCACAGGACCACATGACTGGTTGCCTGAGGCGCTACAAGAAACGCACGGAAAGTTCAAGGCGCCGGTAAAGATCTTGCAGCCGGAGCTCAAGATCTTGTCGTTGCCCCCTGTGAAAAGGAGCCCATGCTCTGGGCAAAGCACGATGGAGACGATGCCGCGGCTGTGTGCGCTCTGGACGCTCAAGAGTAAGACAAGCTCGGGTTCGGAGTAGTGCCAGACTGAGATCGAGCCTGGGCCCCGGAGGCTGCTTCCGAATCTGATTGGATACGGCGGATACGGTCTCCCTGCCTGTGGAGCCACAGCCGAAGAGAAGGCCTTCGGAGGAGAACTCTGCAGCTCTTCGGGGCAACAAGCGATGAACTCCCCTGAAGTCCAACCACGACACCTCCACTCGGGCGATACCGAATGGCAGTGATGGATGTCGACCTCAGAGTTAACATCATGGCAGAAATGAGCGCGAGTTTGACCAGATGCCCACTCCGCCTGCCACGAAGGTGCGAGAGATTCGGGCACGGTTCAGCGTGTCTTAAGGTCCCTGTATGCCGTGGGTTCCCCTTTTCCTGCCCTAAAACCGAAGTCCATGGCTTCGACAGATAAGTAGCTTTCCAAAGGGCTCCGTCAAGTTCAGGAGTTGCTTCAAGGAGCCCGCGATCTTCCACACTCGGATGGAGTGGCAGCCAGTGAAAACCTTAGGAAAATGCTTTGTTCAACAGTCGTGTAAGTCCCACCGTCTCGGTGCTTGTGCGACCGCTACAAACCGCGCTGTGCATGCACGATGCGGTGTCCATCTCGCCGTCGAACTGAAGGCAGTTGATCACGTTCACCTGGGATATTGACGTCTATCCTACTCGATGCATCAGCGCTGGAGAAGCCCAGTTGCATGTGCATCCTCGACCTTGAACAGAAGCCGATAGGTGTTACCTCCAAAGCTTCGAAGAAGAAAAAGACTGGAAAATCGCTGAGAAGTTCCTCGCTGTCTGCGGTGTGCGGCATGCTTCGGACACAGCGTATCACGGCCGTTCCAGCCCATCTGCACTGCAAGACCTTCCCTTCTTCAGCTCTCCCCCAAGTACTCGAAGGCTCGATTCCTGAAGTTCGGGCAAACTACGGCAACCACAACCAGCATAAAGCCAGCAGAGCTAAGATTGGCCAACCAACCAAACCTCCAACAAACCAAACTAGGCTCCCCTCCCAGCCAAAAGCTCCGCCCAGCAGACAACCGCGGCAAGAGTGCAGATAAGGTGCATCGATGCGACAAACATCACTACAACGACAACAGTGTGCCACAAAATGGCCGTTCCTTCTATGAACCCGTTTTTTTTGCCGAACACTTGAGCTTACGATTTGTTCGGGACCCCGGGCCCCAGCCCCACATCCCGGAGCGCCTTGCAGCTGCCACACGCTGAGCCCACGATCTGCGCTCGCTGCCACGAGGCGTCTCGTTCCACTGTGAGCTGCGATGACCTGCGGTGCGCCGAATCTGCACTTTTGAGCGGGGTGGGGGGGTTCCCGCTCATGGATTGCACTAATTGGGCATCAATCCTTCAAGGAGAGGAGTGCCGAAGAATCCTTCAAGGAGAGGAGTGCCGAAGGGATCGTATCGAACTCTACCCACCTGGGAGCACGGCGCAAAGGCTCCGGACTCCTAGTGCACCTCTATTTCGGTGGCTACATAGGAAATCGCCCAAGAAGCCTAGAGATGTCTTTGCTTACAGTCTTTTCACCATCGTGTGCAGCTTTCTCAATGAAAGCACCAATGCTCTCGAAATCCACAAACGCAAGCCCTCGTCAAGTGCTCCTACGTTTCTCGGACCAAAATCTTCGAAACCCCTGTCAACCCATCTCTCATCCATTGCCCGGTATAAGTCTTGAAACAAAGAGAAAGGAGCAGGACGCTGAGATGGCGGGCTCTCCACGAGACTTGCGATTGACCCTCTTCAGGCTTCCGTGGCCGTGGCCTGGAAGCCGCTTGGCTCTGCTTCCTGGAGCTCGGCGACCTGATGTAGGTCGTCTCCCTGGCGCGAGTTGGCTGCAAGCTTTCGTGAAAAATACACATCCAAACGTGCATGCATGCCCTCATCGTGTGCATGCCCCTATGCGCACATGAAAGAGCATGCTGCTTTGCACGATGTCGACGTATATGTTTCTGAATGTACACGGACACGAATATGTACATATACTCAGGCATCCATGCCTTCATTCATTCGTTCATTCATACGCATAAACGCACATAAGTGCATGCATGGATGCGTGGATGCATGCATACACACAAACACATACACATACACATACACATACACATACACATACACATACACATACACATACACATACACATACACATACACATACACATACACATACACATACACATAAACATACTCATTCGCAGACTCATACGCATGCACATACCTAGATACATACCGACCTACCTTCCATGCTACCTACCTACCTACCCACCTACCTGGCGACATACACCTACATACATATACACGTATCTACCTATCTACCTGCTCACCTACATACATACCTACGTACATACTTACGTACATACATGCGTGCGTGCGCTGCAAATCTGTGTGTGTGAGTGCATGTGCATGTGCATGTGCATG